AAGCCCCAGGTATGGCGCTCAGAGACTCTCAGGGGGGGGGGGGGGGGATGCAGAGTTTGCCCACCTCTGCTATGCAATATGGAGTTCATTGTACACATACATGTACATCTATTACAAGAAAGCTGCTGCACACATATCTCTACAGGGTGAGCTCAGGTTCGGTCCAAATCCGGAAGGAAGCTCTCACTGCGGATCTAAGCAGCTGCGGCCGGGGCATTTCCTGCCCCACAATCAAATGGGAGGGATGCTGGTGACATCATTGACCTTATATGGTCACAGGGGCGTAACCACAGATCATGGGGCCCTATAGCAAAATTTTGATGGGGTCCCCCCGCAACCTCCCTACTGTCAAAGATATTAAAGTCAGGTAGCAGTAGAGCTGCCTGCATAGCCCCCTGTACATCTGATGTCAGGTCTTCTTGATTAACAATGTCAGTGTCAGAAGCAGCTTCTGCAATCCTTATTGGGGCCCCCTTCAGCCCCCAGGCCCCATAGCAGCCACATGGGCCGCTATGGTTATTGTTACGCCACTGCCTGGCCGTATTAAGTCAATGGCACTGACCAAATATGGGCATGTGTCCGTATACTGGACCGAAAGCGAGCTTACTATCTGAGCCCCTTTGTTTGCTCATCCCTGGTGCTGGACACATGACTGGGCCCTTCGTCTGTTATTGGAAAAAGAACTGAAGACGGAGAAGTGACATCATAACCATGGAGTTCCACCAGAAAGAACATTATACAAGAACGCTGCCACCTAGTGGCAGAGCTACGAATCACATATATGAGGATGGTTGTCGCACCTGGCACACCTAGCAGGAGCGTAACTAGAAATCACAGGGCCCCATAGTAAAATTTTGTATGGGGTCCTGTGATTTCTAGTTACGCCACTTGCAGAGCCCACCTGAGACCCCACACAGCCCACCTGAGAGTGACCCTGCAGAGCCCACCATAGATTCTCAATGGTGGGCTTTGCAGGGTCTCAGGTGGGCTGGTCACACCCCTGCACACCTCTTACCTGTCAGCCTCCTCCACCGCCGGCCCCGCCTCCTCCTCCTGCACCGTCATTGGCTGCATGGCGGGCCCGCCTCCTCTATCGCCGGGCCCCGCTTCCTCCTCTACTACCAGCGATGGACAGCGGCGCGTTCCTCCTCACAGCCGCCAGTGACAGCCAGCAGCCTGCGACGCCATAGCGACCCAGGCGGCCCACACGGCATCAGGGGGACCCCTTTGTTCTCCATCCTGGCCAGGCCCCCCTTTCCCACGGGCCCCACAACGGCCACCTGGGTCGCTATGGTGATAGCTCCGCCACTGACACCTAGACCCAATCACCAGGCGTGCGTGACACGGAGACAGGAGAATAATGGGGAGATAAGAAACACAGCGTTGTCACCCTATAACAGGACGTGCCTGAACAAGGACCCCGCAGGATCATTAGGCACTATTTTAGGGAGAGCTGAGTGGAATGGTGTCAGTGCATTGAGGAAGTCCATTTTATGAGGATCTTCGGTTTACAATCTTCCAGAGGGATCTGGGTATGAGGTGCGGGATAGAACATAGAAATACAGATTGATGTACGTGTAGTCATGCGACGGATGTGCGTGTAGCGGAGTCCCCCTTTAAGGCTGGATGTGGAAACATCTCCACTCACTCGCACATGTGGAATGAATGAAATCCATGTCGTGGAAAATCCTTTTTGTTTCTGTGATTCATAAAACGTTATGTAACAAGTTATAAATATCTCCCTCTGATCTTTATCTTTACATTATTCCCCCTTCCCAGAATCCTCCTTATTTTCTCAGGCTCACGCAGCAGCTTTTTACGACCCGTTAATGAATCCCATCCAGCGGATCGTTCTTTTGTTTTTGTTTGTTTACGCGTTTTGTCCTTGTTTGTTCCTCGGGGCCGGCGGCTCTCCGTGCCCTTTAAAAGGGAAAAATTTTGTCTTTTTAAAAAAAAAAAAAACATTGTTCGTGAACGGCTTAACGTGACCAAAACAAACAATGTAAATGCAATTAACCGCCCCTCCCCCACTTCCTGTATATGCCGGATGTATTCATTGTTATGTTTATAGAGGATGGTAAAACTTGAGGCCACCTGAAACCCCGCACAGCCTCCTGAGACCCCGCACAGCCTCCTGAGACTCCGCACAGCATCCCAAAACCCCGCACAACCACCCGAGACCTTGCACAGCCACCTAAGACCTTGCACAGCCACCTGAGACCCCACACAGCTACCTGAGACCCCGCACAGCCTCCTGAGACCCCGCACAGCCTCCTGAGACCTTGCACAGCCTCCTGAGACCCCGCACAGCCTCCTGAGACCCCGCACAGCCTCCTGAGACCCCGCACAGGCACCCGAGACCCTGCACAGCCACTGGAGACACCGCACAGCCACTGGAGACACCGCACAGCCACTGGAGACCCCGCACAGCC